GGTATGTGACGGACTTGGACAACCATAGAGCATGTCAAACGGGAGAGGCTGGGGCGGTGCGCGGAATGTGTCAAGGCGTGACGTATCCAAACTAGCCGCATATCCTGCGGCTGCACTGTCATTTGAAGTTAAGGGCTCCTGCTCCTCTGAAGATGGCGAATACCATCAAAATGGGCAGAAAATAATACTATTAACAATAACAATACAATGCATAATTGTAATGTTACAATCTCAATGAAGTTTTTTTATACGTCGTACAACTTTTCTACTGAAAAGAATCATGCGGGATGTAATGATACATAAAGACCACCAAACTACAAAAATATAATAAAAATGTGTACATGGTCTATAATGTTATCTACCTTGAATAACAGCATTAGCCAAGTTAAAACTAAGAGTTAGAAATGAGTAACCTGAAGTAAAATATAACCCGAATGAGTACTCACATTGTGATACATGTAGGTAGTTCCTTGGAGCAGAGGCTTCCTTGAAGCACAACAAAATCCTCACATAGCGGCTATGAACACAAGATTAATGCCATGTAAATAGAAATATTCAGAAACGTACATGTATGTATTTTGAATGATAATATTAAAAGCCAAGTTGATAACGCCTGTTTAGCTGTGTATGACATACACACTCCTAATCTTAAGTTCCAATTCCAAAAACGTATCATACATGGAATAGATGTACATACCTTTTTACTACTCGTTATACTTTAATACGATAAACTGCTTTAACAACTCGATAAACTAATTTAATCAACAAAGGTTAAAATTTAGTGTTCAATATAGATCTTTACACATTACGTAAGTGGTTACCAAAAAATGTGCTAGGTATAGTATTATATCAAATACCTCTATGCATAGTAGATGTACAGTAGATGCACTACAATGGCACACTAGTAGCACGAATTTCAGTACTTTTTGCAATTAGTCGATGTTAGTGTATTACAATCTTTAAGCCCAGTTTAAAGTAAGTTCAAAAAATTTCATATTTAACTGCATTTGGTAATAGTTAGTTTATTAATATTATATTCCTCGGCGAATTAACCCACAATATTATGTGATTCATTTAGTTTAGTTGCCAAGATTGGGCACGTGCCTTAATTCAAGGCAAGTGGGACAAACATCTTCTTCTTCTTCTTCTTTAGGCGAGAGACTTGAAAGAGACCTTGAATTTAACCATGCAAAGTCAAATTTCCATGATGAAAGAAGAGACAAGTCAAAACATATATATCTAAGCACACAATTTCATTATAGGGAGTATAATCCGCTCAATTACTTACGTTGGATCTTCGGTATGTGACGGACTTGGACAACCATAGAGCATGTCAAACGGGAGAGGCTGCGGCGGGGCGCGGAATGTGTCAAGGCGTGACGTATCCAAACTAGCCGCATATCCTGCGGCTGCACTGTCATTTGAAGTTAACGGCTCCTACTACTCTGAAGATGGCGAATACCATCAAAATGGGCAGAAAATAATACTATTAACAATAACAATACAATGCATAATTGTAATGTTACAATCTCAATGAAGTTTTTTTATACGTCGTACAACTTTTCTACTGAAAAGAATCAAGCGGGATGTAATGATACATAAAGACCACCAAACTACAAAAATATAATAAAAATGTGTACATGGTCTATAATGTTATCTACCTTGAATAACAGCATTAGCCAAGTTAAAACTAAGAGTTAGAAATGAGTAACCTGAAGTAAAATATAACCCGAATGAGTACTCACATTGTGATACATGTAGGTGGTTCCTTGGAGCAGAGGCTTCCTTGAAGCACAACAAAATCCTCACATAGCGGCTATGAACACAAGATTAATGCCATGTAAATAGAAATATTCAGAAACGTACATGTATGTATTTTGAATGATAATATTAAAAGCCAAGTTGATAACGCCTGTTTAGCTGTGTGTTACATACACACTCCTAATCTTAAGTTCCAATTCCAAAAACGTATCATACATGGAATAGATGTACACACCTTTTTACTACTCGTCATACTTTAATACGATAAACTGCTTGAACAACTCGATAAACTAATTTAATCAACAAAGGTTAAAATTTAGTGTTCAATATAGATCCTTACACATTACGTAAGTGGTTACCAAAAAATGTGCTAGGTATAGTATTATATCAAATACCTCTCTGCATAGTAGATGTACAGTAGATGCACTACATTGGCACACTAGTAGCACGAATTTTAGTACTTTTTGCAATTAGTTGATGTTAGTGTATTACAATCTTTAAGCCCAGTTTAAAGTAAGTTCAAAAAATTTCATATTTAACTGCATTTGGTAATAGTTAGTTTATTAATATTATATTCCTCGGCGAATTAACCCACAATATTATGTGATTCATTTAGTTTAGTTGCCAAGATTGGGCATGTGCCTTAATTCAAGGCAAGTGGGACAAACATCTTCTTCTTCTTCTTCTTCAAGCGAGAGACTTGAAAGAGCCCTTGAATTTAACCATGCAAAGTCAAATTTCCATGATGAAATAAGAGACAAGTCAAAACATCTATATCTAAGTACACAGTTTCATTATAGGGAGTATAATGCGATCAATTACTTACATTGGATCTTCGGTATGTGACGGACTTGGACAACCATAGAGCATGTCAAACGGAAGAGGCTGGGGCGGTGCGCGGAATGTGTCAAGGCGTGACGTATCCAAACTAGCCACATATCCTGCGGCTGCACTGTCATTTGAAGTTAAGGGCTCCTGCTCCTCTGAAGATGGCGAATACCATCAAAACGGGCAGAAAATAATACTATTAACAATAACAATACAATGAATAATTGTAATGTTACAATCTCAATGAAGTTTTTTTTGTATACGTCGTACAACTTTTGCACTGAAAAGAATCAAGCGGGATGTAATGAAACATAAAGACCACCAAACTGCAAAAATATAATAAAAATGTGTACAAGGTCTATAATGTTATCTACCTTAAATAGCACCATTAGCTAAGTTAAAACTAAGAGTTAGAAATGAGTCAAGTAGAATATAACCCGAATGAGTACTCACATTGTGCGACACGTAGGTGGTTCCTTGGAGCAGAGGCTTTCTTGCAACACCACAAAATCCTCCCATAGCGGCTATGAACACAAGATTAATGTCATGTAAATAGAAATATTCAGTAACGTACATGTATGTATTTTGAATGATAATATTAAAAGCCAAGTTGATAATGCCGGTTTAGCTGTGTGTGACATACACACTCCTAATCTTAAGTTCCAATTCCAAAAACTTAGCATACATAGAATAGATGTACACACCTTTTTACAACTCGTTATACTTTAATTCGATAAACTGCTTCAACAACTCAATAAACTAATTTAATCAACAAAGGTTAAAAATTAGTGTTCAGTATAGATCCTTACACATTACGTAAATGGTTACAAAAAAACGTACTAGGTATAGTATTATATCAAATACCTCTCTACATAGTAGTTGCACAGTAGATGCACAACAATGGCACACTAGTAGCACGGATTTCAGTACTTTTTGCAATTAGTCGATGTTAGTGTATTACAATCTTTAAACCCAGTTTAAAGTAAGTTCAAAAAATTTCATATTTAACTGCACTTGGTAATAGGTAGTTTACTAATATTATATTCCTCGGCGAATTAACCAACAATATTATGTGATTCATTTAGTTTAGTTGCCAAGATTGGGCATGTGCCTTAATTCAAGGCAAGTAGGACAAACTTCTTCTTCTTCTCCTCCTCCTCCTCCTCCTCCTGCTCCTCCTTCTTCCTCTTCCTCTCCTCCTCCTCCTCCTCCTCCTCCTCAATCTTCTCCTCCTCCTCCTCCTCCTCCTCCTCCTCCTCCTCCTCCTTCTTCTCCTTCTTCTTCTTCTTCAGGTGAGAGAATTGAAAGAGACCTTGAATTTATCCACGCAGAGTCAAATTTTCATGATGAAGGAAGAGACAAGTCAAAACATCTATATCTAAGTACACAGTTTCATTATAGGGAGTATAATGTGATCAATTACTTACCTTGGATCTTCGGTATGTGACGGACTTGGACAACCATAGAGCATGTCAAACGGAAGAGGCTGGGGCGGTGCACGGAATGTGTCAAGGCGTGACGTATCCAAACTAGCCGCATATCCTGCGGCTGCACTGTCATTTGAAGTTAAGGGCTCCTGCTCCTCTGAAGATGGCGAATACCATCAAAACGGGCAGAAAATAATACTATTAACAATAACAATACAATGAATAATTGTAATGTTACAATCTCAATGAAGTTTTTTTGTATACGTCGTACAACTTTTGCACTGAAAAAAATCAAGCGGGATGTAATGAAACATAAAGACCACCAAACTGCAAAAATATAATAAAAATGTGTACAAGGTCTATAATGTTATCTACCTTAAATAGCACCATTAGCTAAGTTAAAACTAAGAGTTAGAAATGAGTCAAGTAGAATATAACCCGAATGAGTACTCACATTGTGCGACACGTAGGTGGTTCCTTGGAGTAGAGGCTTTCTTGCAGCACCACAGAATCCTCCCATAGAGGCTATGAACACAAGATTAATGTCATGTAAATAGAAATATTCAATAACATACATGTATGTATTTTGAATGATAATATTAAAAGCCAAGTTGATAATGCCGGTTTAGCTGTGTGTGACATCCACACTCTTAATCTTAAGTTCCAATTCCAAAAACTTAGCATACATAGAATAGATGTACACACCTTTTTACAACTCGTTATACTTTAATACGATGAACTGCTTCAACAACTTTTCACGCATTTGTTGGCCAACTTTTCAATTTACAGTCTTTTCCACGTCTTTTTCTACTCTGCGCGGCATTTTTTCACCGCATCATATCTAAGTGCGCCTAAACCTAGCCTTTTACCACCTTTTAGAAGATAATTGATAATTATATCCAATCAAAAAAATCCATTTTTCTTATTTATAAAAAATTCTATCATTTACAATAAAATGGAGATTCTATCATTTGAAGAATTATGTGCTTTTATTAGGCCAGCTAATGTCGCATTAAATGCAAAGGCAAACTATTAGGAAAGCCACCACCACCATCTCACCACTGAGGTTGACATAAAGCAATTTCTTTTCATGGCAAAATGATCCAACGGCAGTGGGTGGCCCCAACTTGGCAATCCGACGGTTAGAATGCCTTATCGTCAGGGACAGACCAAACACGCCATAGTAGAAAGCTCGAGAGCCCCGTGACTTCATCTCAACTTCGTCTCAGACGCGTGTGCGTGCAATCTTCTCCTACCGCGATTCCCCTCTCTACATCCCCAGTCCTTCCGTACGGATCTCTCTCCCTCTATATCTCTATACATATGATTTACGCTTTTTGAATAAGTAATTAAGTTGAATATGTCTGCTTATGTAAAGCCTTGTGTTTGACAATCTGCAGACCTCGATCTAGATCGTCCAGTATCGAGTGCGTTGACCCTGTCAATCAGTTTCCGATTCAAGATCCGGTGATCTTATTATGTATGTTTCGGGTTGTTTTGGATTCAGATCTTGAATTTCTTATGATTAGAAATGGTAGATTTTCTGGTAGATGGTGATGGTTTTACATCTTAATCTCTGTCTGGGGTTTCTTCTGTAAGATAGTTATTGGTTGTTTATTCATGTTTTTGTTATTGATTTGTTCAAATAAAATGTCCAGATGCTTAAAAGTAGGGTGTTAAAAGGGACTAGTTAGAAAGTCATATGGCACATGGACATAGTAGATCTTCGCAGGAAGGATGAACATTTCTATGTAATTATTATGCTTGTCCTCTTGTTAAAATCCTGTTTTTTGAGCTTCTTACTTTTTCTTTCCTAATTGACCCACATAAGCCAGTCTATACTCCGCTTATAGCTTCTAATGCAGTCTTATATAAGTTGGTTGTCTATTACCATAGTGTAAAAACAAATAGATATCTCTAAGGGATTTGGAAAGAGAGAAAAAACTAAGGCCGGGGTATACCAATAAAGTATGCAACTTTAGGTTGCTGGACTATTGATTTGTTTTACGATCTAGCCTTCTATTGGTAAAATGTTGTCCTCTATATAACTTTGCTTTGCACACCGACTCCAGAGTTGCCTGCGATTGTTGGATGAGCAAGGCCTATGAGTCAGGGGAAGGCTCTGTGAAAGGTTCAGGGACTGCCGGAACCCTTCCAGAAAAAGAGTGATGGTATTTCCAACACCATTGATTAAAGGGTATTAGGAATAAAAACTTGTTACTTTGTTAGTCTTCTTATTTAGGACAAAATAAATATTATTGTCCAGGATTAAAAACCCGTTTTTTTTACTTTGTCAGTCTTATTTATGAAAAGTAGCCATGTTTTAATCATATTTGGAGTAATTTATTTACTTTTCTGAAAATTCACCACGTTTGTGCCTAAAACATAACAGGTTTTCCCAACGATGACTTGTAATACTTTTTTGTTTGTGTAAATATATAATATGTCTAGAATAAAAATATGTTACTCTTCTTTATCTAGGACTAAATAGATATTTATTAGTAACATGTTAGTCTTGCTTGGAGAAAGAGCTATTTTTAGTCATATTGGGTCATCATTTCTTGCTCATATCATTCTTCAAACCTTTCACGTAATCTTTCCCTGAAGTCATGTACGGTGTACCTGATTTGATTCTTGTTGAATTTAATAACCCACTCTTATAGTATATTATGATATGTCTTTAATATATAGTTCATAATCCCTGGAAAATGTGCATAAGTAATGGAAAATTTGATCATCGTTCGTGGTGTCAATTTTTTTTGCAGTACACTATAAAATGATTCGCTCACAAGATTCTCAGCGCCCCCATTTGCACTTCAAGAATCCCTTTTCGGTTATACTACCTAAAGGCTCATCACACTTGTCCCCCAGGCTCCTCTCTCTTTTGAATGCTTTCGAGAAATCATTGGCTGAGAAACTCACAAGTCTCAAGCCCGGAGGCGGGGTTCATGCACTGAGTTTCTCATGGATGAAAGAAGCTATGGCTTCACTCGCTGCAATACACAGTAGTGTCCAAACCCTGGTCAAAGAACTTGACCTTCCGGTGTGTGGATGGGATGAGAAGTGGCTTGATGTCTACATGGACAACAGCGTGGGCTTGCTTGATATATGCACTGCTTTCAGCTCTGAGATTTTGAGGCTTAACCAAGGCAACCTTTACCTCCGGTGCACCGTGCATACTCTAGACAGCGAACCGAAGCAGTTCCATGCACGAGCGAGGTCGTCTTTGGACGGATGGAGGAGCCGACTGGGTTCCAAAAACCCACGGATTGAGAATTGCTCTTTGATTTTGGACCGTCTCATCGAGAGCCTGAAGTTCCCTAAGAAGAAAGATTCTGGGAAAGAGAGAGTTTTGATGAAAGCGTTGTATGGCGTCCGGGTGGTGACCATTTTTTTCTGCAGTGTGTTTGCCACTGCCTTCTCTGGTTCTGCTGGAGGGAAGTTGAAGAAGAATTTTGAGGCGCTTGAGGGTTGTTTTTGGGCAGATGCCTTTGCTGACCTGCAGAGTTCTGTGAACGAAGAAATAGAGAGCGGTGGAGGGGTGACCAGACTGAAGGAGGTTGAAGATGTTGATGTAAGTGTGAATAAGCTATACCCCATTGTTGAGTCTGACAAAGTTGAAGGAGAATTATTAATATCATTGTCAAATGCAACTTCGGAGTTAAGACAGAATGCTGATAAGCTCTCTGAAGGGCTCGATCTGTTGGGGAAGGAAGTCGATGGATTCTTTAGGATTGTTCTGACAGCACGTGACGCAATGCTTTCTAACATTAGAGTTGGTAGCCATAAGGTATCTAAATAAAAAAAAAGAGGAGAAGCTGTATAGAGGGGCAAATTATGATGTTAAGAATAGCTAGCTAGTGGGAACATGAGTCTTCTTCTTGTGTATACAAAGGGGCTGCCTAAGTGTGTGTGTGTGAGTGGTTGGGTGGGGCGGATTTGATGTAATATGGTTCAATATGTGGCGTTCAACCTCTACTTAATTGCCAAAATGTGTAGAGCAATGTTTGTGACAAAAAGTTGTGTGAGTTGTGGTCTATCATCATTAATCAAGTACGGAGTAGTGTAGTACGTTCTAATATCCATGAAAAGTTTATTTGGACTTCGGGAAATTCTATTCACAACCATTTAATTAAATATAATAAATAAAATTGATTGAAATTTCTAAATTACCCTTACAACCATATCACTCGTCGAAATAGGTCATCTGTTACTTCCGCAGAAGGAAACGAGGAACAGCGATGCAGCCGTGAAATCCTTCCCGGCAGTCTCCTTAAAGCGGCTGTGGCTTGGAGGAACTGAACTTGGAGTTTTTCTGACAGATTGCTCAACAGAGGGAAGGTAGTAATGGCAATGATATGCCCTCAGGCCAATTCAGCTCCTACTTCACACAAATGGGAAGATATTTTTGAGATGTTCTTTGATCTTGTTGGGGGGTTGATTAGGTGTCTCTTAGACTGAAGGCGATTACATGTATAATGCTTGTATTTATTGCCATACTATATGTCTATACCTACTTTTGGCAAGTTTTATTTCATCTTTTTGGGACTTAAGGGCAGGCCCGCTTAGGATGTTTCTACTTAAATTGTTTTTAGTTGCATACTAGATCAGACCTAACTTTCGTAGTTATAAAATACACAGAGACCAGATATTTACCAGAACAGATCAAACTTAAATAGACCAGACCAGAACATCAAATTTCAGTCCAAGTAAAAACATCCTTTGAGTAATTGAGTGTGCCATTTGTGTAGCCTACAGTCTCGGGTTTAGTTCTCATTGAAACCTGTTTGAGATAGTGGTGGACTCGGGCCGGGCGGCCCGGCCCGGTTACTGTTTGGCCCGGCCCGGCCCGGGGCCCGGTGGGTCCACCGGTTCGGTTCGGCCCGGCCCGGCTGCTGGGCGGTTCGGGCCCGGTTCGGGCCGGTTTTTAATTTATTTATTTTTTGAATTTTTTTAAGTTTTGGGTTGGATTAGGTATTTTGGGCCATTTGAGGTGGTTTGGGGTGGTTTGGGGTTGAGGGGGAGGGGTTGGGGGTTAAATAGAAGAGCCAAAAAAAAAAATTAGAACCGGTTAGGCCCGGCCCGGCCCGGCCCGGCCCGGCCCGGCCCGGCCCGGTTTGGCCCGGAACCGGAACCGGAACCGCCCACCGGCGGTTCGGGCTCGGGCCCAACTTTCCTGGCCCGAGGCCCGGCCGGGCCCAGGCCCGAACCGGGCCCGAACCGGCCCGAGTCCACCACTAGTTTGAGAATATGAAAATGAATTTTAACTTTAAGCAAAACATTTACGGAGTATGATTTATTATTATGAGGTTAAACATCGTTTCCTACTTGCGATTAAGAATTTATGATTACTTGCTGGAATGGGTGAATTATATCACCACTCCTATTTTTGTACTGGTATTACCCAAAAAGCAGCCACCGGGAAGAGTCTACCCTAAGAATAGTAGCCAGTCTCCATTTCTAAAGTCTTCTAATTTTTATACTTATGTGTTTGACCACTTCTTTTTGACACCTTCATATAAGTGATATCACACTTTTTCTTAGCTGTATACGTACTACTTCCTCCTCCGTCCCAAAAAGATCGACCAATTTGACTTTTCTTAGTTAATGGTGATCAAATTTGACCAATTTTTTAATACAATTTTTTCTAAATATGAAATTATATGAGTATATTCTTTATTTATTTTATTTATAAAAGTATAGAGCTTATAAGTTACGCACAAATATAATAATACATAGAATCATTGTCTAAGCTTTAACATCATTGACCAAAAATAGTTAAATTGATCAATTTCTTCGGGACGGAGATAATATTTGACACAATACTTTCTAAGAGCTGTTACACAAATCTATGTTTTTCTTTTCAGAAGTTACCCTAATTAACTGATGAAATACGAAGTATAGTTATTTATATTTTATTGATTTTAACATTAATTCATTGATCATAATACTTCGTAACTTGTTATGCACTTATGCCAAACAATATGACATCATCCACTCAGGTTTTTTAAGAACCGAAATCTTTCCTTTTAAGAACTTTTCAATTAGTAAAAGATAACACGCTTTAAAATCAACTTCGAGCAATTTTAACCTCTCAAGAGTACTGCAATAACGCGACATAGGTTTGGTGTACAACTACACTTAGCTCAACTCCTTTGAGAGTGCAAGTAATTTAAAACAACAGGAAAATTCTTGGTGTACACCCGGGTTACACCCTACTCCCTCCGTCCCCCTAAGTTTGGGACGGAGGGGTGTGGTGTGGGTTTTTAAGAAAAAGTGGAATTGTGTGGTTGGTATTGAATTGATAAAGTGTAAATAAAGTAAGAATGAATTCTAACCACTCAAATGTTACCAAATATGGTATGGGACAAACTTAGTGGGACGGACGAAAAAGGTAAAAACGGGACAAACTTAAGGGGACGGAGGGAGTATCTATTTGCCATTCACACAGACAAAAACGTAAAAATACATACACTTTCGATAAAACTGTTGGTGTGAATAAAATTAGTTTTCAGATCTGCCAGGCTAACTGCACGGAAACCAATGTCGGTGTACACAGATATTAGTTGTCTATGTAGACAAAAAAGTGCCGGTGAACAAAATTGGTTTGCAAGTCTGTCAAGGGGTTGGGAAACCAGTGTCGGTGTACACAAACATTAGTTGTCTGTGTACACATACACTGAAAGCAAACCAATGTCGATGTGCATAAAACGTAAAAAGAGAGAATTAAAGAATAAGAAGAAGAAGAAGATGAACAACAATATGATTCAAAGGAATGGTTTCTAAACTTAGCTAATAAAACGTAAAAAGAAAGAAAAAGAGAGAAAGGAAAAAAATGATGATGAAGAAAGAGAAAGGAAGAAAGAAAGAAGAACAAGATGATGAAAAAGGAGAAATGAAGAAGAAAGATAGGGGGGGGGGGCGTATAGTGCAAAAGGGAGATAAGGGGAGAGTGGGAAGGGAGGGGAGAGAGAAAAGTGGGAAGGGAGGAAATAAAAAATGGGGTTATATATGGTGTAATCGTGGATGTACCTAAAGAATTATTCTTTAAAACACATATATGTGAAACAA